TATTTGTGAGATAAATAGCAAAGCTTACCAGCTAAGCGGATTGAAAGATCCCTTGCTTTAGTGATTGGCATGTGTTGAACAGGAAGGTTTTCTGGCAATAAAGGACCTAATAATGGAAAAAGAAACCTTTAGTTAATTTATGAAGATGAATAGCTAAAAAATCATCAGAAACACACATGAAAAATTGTTTTCAGTGTAAACAAACACGTTGAACCCACTACTGGTCAGTCTTTCTTCGGGACACGGCTAGTAAGTCTGCTGATGCTTAATGAAGAGAGTTAGAAAATGTAGTTCGTTGGGTCAAATATCTGCTTCGTAGGTGGTTGTCAAATCAAAAACTTCTAAGAGTTTATGTTTTCTTCGTGAATTTGATTTGATTTCTGCAGTACTCTCACGTATCCCGTAGCTTCAGGGCAAGATAGGTCCCGCAATATAGGTAACTAACCAGTAGTTCCAGCCGGTGTAATCTCCCTTAAATGTTCGAAGACATCAAGCCTCTTTAAATCTTTTGCTTTCTGAGCCAGACCACGGATTATTTTCTTGGTGTCATTGTCTGGCCACTCAAGAACGTCTTTGTTTAGTGGCAGGTTCTCCTCCAGTTGATGAACAATCTCTTTGGCATCGCACGTCGCTGACAGGAGGGATTGTTCAACATCATCAGGTAGGCAAATTTCGGTGGTTGCTTAGAAAAAGCGAAAGGAAAAGATCGGTCATAAATCAATGATAATTCAAATAAATGTTTTCACAGCATAAGTTCTTCGGAAATTATTGACAACTACTTTGGAGATTTTCAGCACATTAGTAATTATTATTTTTAGATAAAATAGCGAATATTTTTAGCTGTTATATTTATATAAAAAAAAATCCCAAAGGGGAAGTATGACATGCACTCACCAGTAGTTTTCCCCAGATTAGGCAGTATTTTACCACTTTTGGGATCTAAGGCCGGCGTATCAGGACAGGCTCCCTCCAGCAGCAGACTCCCCTTTAGTTGCGGCGAAATAGTTTGGTCGTCTCGCTGCTGTGTGAAACGGGTTTGTAGAACCTCGTCAGCAGAAAAGGTTTCCTCATCGTCTTAACACAAATAAAAGGTGACAATTTATCAGCCATACACTATTTGCTTCTTCAAGTCTGTCAAGTGAAATGTATTTTTCAAACAAAGTGAATTTTTTCCCTTTCTGTTATCTAGAGAGAACCACCAGAAAACTTATACAGTAATGTTACCTTCAACTGACGCTAAGTTTCTACCATCACATTTATCAACAGTCAGCTGTTGGAAAGAAAGAAGGAGAATTAAACATCATCATGGAAATGCAACATTTCTGAACTTTTGTACGTTTAATGAGGAACATTTTGCTTGATATTCATTGCAAGATTTACCTTAGGCAAGTGTGATGGGTTGATTACTTGGCTTATTTTAAGGAAACAAAGAATATTTCCGATTTCTTAACTGTTACAAATGAACCCAAACACAAGTGCCTTTATCATCTCTATGGACTCGACTTCTGCCGCTTTCAGTAAAGCATTCGTGGTCTCACCTCATCTTTTGATAACAAATTTAACGTTTCCAAGTTTTCTGTTAATCTTTACAAACGGTCACATGTTATCTACAATTATTTACCTGATTTCTCATAGGAGAAAACCAAGGCTCGAAGTCTTTCACCAACACTCTGTTCATCTTAGCAACTGCAGATCTGGTGCAACCTATGATCTTCTTTTCCCTGCACAACTCTGACTCGGGCCAGAAGTGCAAGCATTCTTCTTGCTTGCAGTCTTTTGTACGATGTGTGCGGCAGTAGCTGACGGCACCTTCGTGACAACAAACAGGGCACAAGAAACTCACTTCATATTTCATATTCTGTAGCCAACAGAATTCCCTTCGCATGGACTCAAGCATCAATTCGAGTTGCCTCAGTACTGCACAAGCAAAGGTGTCATGGTTATTATTTACAAGTGAACCACTCGCAGACTTAGAAGAGTGGGCCACCTCGTGACCGTCATTGCCTCTATGGACAACGACTTCAATTGATGACATATGGCAAAGAAGGATTACGGAGCAATTTACCTCTTCAGAACGGTAAATTCTGACAAAATTGTGGTATAGCTGAGGGTGCTCTGGGCTGGCACATTCTTGTTTGCACCATTGTAAAAATTGCAGCACTAATCGGGGAAACAGGCCAGGTGGAACTTGTCCAGTCTCAAATTTAAAAAAAAGAGAAGGAATTTCTGCAGATGCAATCAGCTCCATTATTTCTTCTGGTGGGTGTGACATTAACATAGAAGGCACTAGGTACTGCTTACCACATGAGCCACCCGAAGAGGGCCAAGAGCAAAGTAAACTGAACTTCTCCATGATAGCAATGAGATTTTGGCAGGTGTCCTCTTTGCGATATAAAGGACCCCAAACATGTTCTAAAAGAGGTTCCTCCAAGACTCCTTCTTTTTCAAGCCTAAACCAGAGCTCTTTAAATTTTTTCTCCTTGCTGTCAAATGGCCGAATGGTAATAACCTCCTTGAAAACATTGATCAACCACTGAGTGTCTAAGACCACCATTTTACTCAGCTCTGGAGTGTCATCAAAGTGTATTAAAACTCTTTGATCATGCAAAAAATTTAGTAAAGTTCTAAATTCTTCTTCATCAGAGACGTTACACACCTCCCAAGCAACTTCTTTTGTCTCTTTGAGGGAAATCCACTTGTTACCCTCATCTTTCTTGGCTTGCATTTCTTTTTCAAACTTAAGCCACTTGATTGGAACTGCTTCTTTCATGTGGGGTAGCTCCTTGGCGACGGCACGTATTTCATGGCGCAAGCGCAAGACATCTGGACATTCCAATTCATGGCCAGACTTGGTATTATCCACAATAAAGACATCATGTAGGTGCGTCTTGTAGGGTTTGGTCTGTAGGTGACCAAATACCATCCGGCCCAGCTCACGAGGATCTCCTCCATCACAAGGTTTGTCAGCGTGAGTGCACACTAAAAACACCGGTGGAAGTTCAGGCAACAAGTCAGATTTCGTCTTTTTAGAATTACTTTCGTCCTGAATGGCGAGAGATGCAACAGATGACATCCAAAAATCAAGATAATCGGCATTCGTTTTCAAACGAAAGCTGTCCTGTAATTTCGTGAACATTCCTTGTTTCATAACTGATTTGGCTTCATCGTGCAGATGCCGGCTGAGATCATTCACCAAAAGGTATATTGCTCTCGACGTAAGGAAGAGTGGGTGGGTAGTATAATAAACTGTCTGTCCGCCAAAATCCCACAAAACGGAGTATATATCCTCTTCGCGTTCTAAGTCCTTATCTTCGCGCAAGAAAACCTCAACTAAACGTGCAACATCATATGGCACAGTTTGGATATCGTCAGCAGGGCTTTGATCGCTGATTGTTTGATCTTGCGACATAGAGATGAAATCCGAACCCACAAGTGATTCCTCAGATTCACAGTTGGAGACAGAGTCATGGTTGGATGTATCAGATGCTACTGAAGCTGCGGGTATGGGATATAAGTCCTCTTCAGATTGTAAACAGCTATCTACCATATTCTCATCTCGTGCACATGATGCTGAAACGATATCCTCGCTCATGCTTATCTCGACTGATTCCACCGGCACAAGGTGTTCAACCTTATCAGATTCTAGACTCTCTTCTTTGGGAGTACTTTTTTCCTGACTCAAATTTTGGACGATCAACCGCGCTGCATGATGCTCATAAGAACATGCCCTCTCAACATTTCGTTGTTCGTCTTTCTCTCCTGGTTTCCAAATCTCAGTTGACACTTTGAAATGAGAAGGATCAATGTCTATGCCTATGGTACTATCCTCCTCTGGGTTGAATCGCTCTCCTTTGAGAGATTTCGCCAAGCTGGTTTTTCCGGAGCGGTCCTGTCCAATTAACATGATTGGCACGCGTTTGATATATGTCCTCCCCTCTGATAGGGCCTTTTTGTAGGCCCTTAAAGCCAAACGTCCTCGTGCACGAATCTCTTGAGGTGCCTCGTCTATTTATATGAATAAGACGATAGCCCCACCTTATTCCAGTTACAATGTTACCTTAATTCGGTAAAACACTGGCAAATACCCGTAAATTCTTACAATAAAAATCAATCGATCAAATGTATTGGTAACAAAGTTACAAAGAACTTCGTGAACCACAAAGCAGCGAATGGGGAGCAAAACATCAAACTTGAAACGACATCTGAAGAAAGCGACGATGAAATGATAAATACACTCAATAAATCTAAAAAAAAACCAAAAATGAAAAAAAAAATTTTAAACGCTTTTCCGGAAAGTTTTTACATTGCAAAAGAGATTTCAGTGGAAAAATTTATGGCACAGTTATAATACATGAGAATACTAACCGTAATAAAAATCAGCCAATAATTTACAAATCTCTTTGAAATTTGGACGTTCCTTTGGATTAATATCCCAGCAATTGCTCATCATACCATAGAGGACGGTATTACATCCTTTAGGACATTCCATTCGATATCCTCTTTCGATCTCGTCGACTAAATGATCTGCGGGCTTAAACCAGACCCCAATTAGAAGCACCATGGTGAAATACTTTCATTCCAATTTTTATTTTCCAAATAAATCCATAGTAAAAAAAACAACACTTTTCATTTGCCTATTTCTTTGAACTGTTTGGACTTTGAGCTTTGAGCTTTGAGCTTTGAACTTCCAGGAATGGCTTAGCTTTTCTTTCCTGCTTCGTCACATTGGGATTTTGTAAAGTCAATTGAAATGCAAATGAAAACAAACTATACGATTCGAAATCAAAAGTTTTAACGTTACCAGCTACGTAATAACCTTTGAATGTGATCGTATCCATTAATCAAACTCAACACTAACCAGGTCGGAACACGGATTTTCACCAAACGAAAAAAGCACCCATAATAAGACGCCATAACTCCATACATCGGACAGAGAGGAAAATATCTGCAAACAAAACCAAACCAACAAATCTGGAAAACGAAAAGATATCCACCCATATCAAAGAATATAAATTAATGCAAACAAAAAATGTAATATGAAAAAGAAAATAATAACAAAAAAACAAAACAAAATTATTGAGCAAGAGCATATGCATCTTTAGATGGTCTTTAAATTGTACTACTTGAGCAATTAATCGTAGAGTATGCCGTACCCCCCGCCTGATTGCCTCTGGAGCTGTCCACTCGTCAGAAGTATTTTTCCGCTCAGAGCTTAAAGATGGTACCTGTGCGAGTCCAAACTCTGACACCTAAAGAGAAAGAAAGACGACAAAACATATGCAGGGATTCTTGAAAAGTGATCCACACTGCTTCGCGATTTTAAGGCTACGTCTGAGGTAATCAGTTTGAAGCTGTTAGATTGCAGAAAGCGAATAAACCATAGCTCTCAAAGCCTCCTTGGGCAGAAGACAACTTCCGTGATCTGACGTTTAAATCTAAGTTGTGGAGTCTGAATAATGTTTCACTCTCTTAACCTTATCACAGAATAGATGGCTGCTGTGGAAGTCAAGCTATTTTCTCATCTTATATAACAGTATAGCTACAAGTTAGCTGAAAGATAACTGACAATTCACAATCCTGCAAAATAAAGGAGGACTGAAAAAGCTGAAACCAACTACTCCCGAGATGCTCATGTTTTTATACGTGGAAGTGTTATAACTCGTTAATAACCCTACTTTTGCTGTTCCATCTTCATGGATCAGAATATTCCTCGCCATTAACCCCCTGGAGTAAAAATATATAAATATGAAAAAGAGGTGATAGTTAGGATAAAAAAAAAACTGCAAATATTGATAGCATATCCCAGTTTATTTGACTTTGAGCAAAAAAAAAATTTACTCTAAAGCTCAGAATTTTTATCATTAGGGCTGTTGGTCATATTACTGGTGAGGCGATTCGTAATGTTTCTGAGCACTTTCTCTTCTCGAGGTTATCGTTTGCGTATTGCACCATTTCAACTTCAAGTTTCCTAAATGATCAATTCAAAGACAGCACAGTTTTGGGTGGGAGAGTTTTGTTGAGGGTGTAATAAATCAATAAAATTTGGTGTTGAAGGCCACTTGTGATGTTTTGATAGGTTTTCAAAACATCACTTGTGCTCATAAATCCTGAAATGCACTCGGTTCGTTTGATTTTCCAAACTTATATTCAATTCAACAAAGAGATTCCATTTTGCCCTACGTCTATCCAGTTATAGATCACAGATGAGGTCAAAATGTGGAAAGAACGAAAAAGTGGCACACAGGCGCAGCTGAGTGTGTCACTAATGTTCTTACTTCATTTTGACGTCTTCTGTGATCTATTTATACCCACGTCATCATAGAATCTTTTGGTTTTACATGATACCAGGAGAAAATGCTGTTGATGGTGACGTCATCTATACGTCTATCCTTCAACAGATCACAATTGAGAACCAATCAAAATACGTATACAATTGTGTATCTTGGTTCCCTTTCAACGAAAACTCCAAGTTCCCCAGAATTTGTCATCATGTGCCATATTTTCATGCCTCAGTGTTCCAAGAAATCGTTGCGAGAAATTTTACCTGTGAACCACATCTTTGGATTGTAAATACTTCATACCATCAGCTACATCCCTGTGGAACAGAATTTTTTTTCAATTTAATTCTAATGAAAAAAACCAAGTAAAAAATCATTTAAATTGTAACTTCTTATTAGGCCACATTCACGTGTAACTTTTTTGCCATTTACTTTAAGTTTCCTAAATGATCAATTCAAAGACAGCACAGTTTTCGTTAGGAGAGTTTTGTTGAGGGTGTAATAAATCAATAAAATTTGGGGTTGAAAGCCACTTGTGATGTTTTGATAGGTTTTCATAAAATCACTTATGCTCATAAATCCTGAAATGCACTCGGTTCGTTTGATTTCCCAAACGTATGTTCAATTGCTCACTGCAAAGAATCTTTTGTTCTCCGCGACAAGAGACATTTATTGAAAAAAAGAGAAAGAAAAACGAAACAAGAAACAAACAAACAATATGCTATTACTGAGAACAGTTGCAGACACATCAGCCCTTGATTTGATCCTCCACATAGGAAAAGACAACTTTAAATCAGATCATTTGCTCGTGACATTTGGAATAACCATGGATAGTAGATATGAAAAAAAAGTAATCTAGCCTCTCAATAAATGTTTTGTGAGGTCAATTTCCTTACTTAGCAAGTCTCACAAGATCGTCTTCTTGGAGTGTACCTGAGCCTGTTCTCGACAAGAATTCCAACAAATTTCCCTGGAAAAAAAGATGGAAAATATTTACCATAATTTGAAAGGGAACACTAATCCAAAAACGATAAGTAACATAAACAGATGAAATAGACCTCAATTAAGAGACTGGAAAGCCTTTTGGCCCAATAGCACATTTCATCCTTTCACATACATTATATTGGACCTCTCTTTATCATTATACAGACAAGTACCATTAAACTTTTCACTCTCCAATTCAAACACGCAAATTAATCATTGACGGACCTTTATCTCCATGCATTGACACTTTTTCAGTTTAAGTCTCATGACAATATGAACGATATTCTTCAAGTTTAGAACTGACTCGAGGGAACATGGATCAATACGTATTACATCTGTACAACTTCGGTGCACACTTAAAAGACGTTAAATTCCCGAGGTCTGTACATTTTGGCTGTTGTGGACATGTCGCTGAAAGTTCAATCGAAGTGACCTGCAACTTTTCGATCAAAAGCAAGTATTCCCATGGCGCGGAAAAGCTTACCCTGGCACAAAACTCTGTCACAAGGTAAAGAGGGTTTTTGGCCAAAGACACTCCAAGTAATGTCACAATATTCCTATGCTGTAAATTCCTGTTAAAAAAAGGCAAGCACAGCTACCTGTCGGTCCAGTGCAGATTTTCAAACTATTTCTATTTCTATTTCTAAACAAAAATGTTAAGAATTAGCTTGATAAACGCCTAGTTATTAAGGACTTTATCAAGAAAAAGCACCATGAGCAACTGCTGCCTCAAATCTTTCTTTTAAAAGACTTTGCGAACTATGACAATGTTTGAAATATATCGCCTCTGTATACACAGCCAATGAATATACAAGAACTTTCCTTTGATGCACTTGCTCACGCTAGTTACAAAGACAATATAATTCTATTCTCTTGTAGTTACTTGAAGTGCTTGAAATAATGCGCGTCTAAGATAACAAACTTGCAAAAGAAGCAAAAAGCCCCAGCGCTACGACAGTACAATGTCACACTTTACATACGTCATGATGGCAGCCTCTATTAAAAACGCCTGAACATCTTGATATCTCTCTGCTGAATATTTTTTCAC